CCCAAAATCCCCAAAACCCCAAAACCCCAAAACCCCTTTATTTTGATGAAAACTGAAATCTACTAAATCAGGTCTACATTCCCCACAGGAAGGCTATCAATCTTGCATTGCAAGCGTAGTTTGAAGAATTGGGATGATTACTGATACTTTAGGACATCTAAAAATGCATCTGAGATATTCCTCAACTTGTCTAAAAACAATCCCGCTAGAATAAAGGCTTCAGCTTATAATTATCTTAGTAAAATATATATCTAGGGCTGCGATAAAAAAGGATTTTATCGCTTGGCATTGAGCTTATTTAAGCCTCAAATTATTTGCTGAGATTGGCACATCTAGGTACCACTCTGACAAGATGAATAATAAGGTCTCTTCAGTTACTATATAGAAATATTATTCATATGGCTTTTTAAAAACAAGCTTACCTTGGAAAATGCACGTGCATAGAGATTTATTCTATCAATATCTCTGCCAGGACTGGATAAGCAACATTTTGATGGTTCGTCAGACAGGATCCTGCATTGATTAAAACTATACAGATTTCATTAGGTGAGCAGACTTTAGAAGTCTCTTTACTCAGCCGTAGTAATTCTAAACCAGGTAATTTCAAGATTAATAAGGTTGCCCAGTTCCTGACTATAAGTGGAAACAACCAGCTTAGCCTACAAATCTTGTCCTCAGATCTCATAGTTAGAGATTTAGTCTGGTGTTTTAGCTTGGACAGATATTCCATACAATCTCTTCTTCCTCTTTGGAGATATTTTAGCTGGCAAATGTTGGATCCTGGGAATTCTCAAGGTTTTGAACTGTTTGAAAACAGCTTGTGGGGTGTATTGTTGTTACGAACATATTACAGGTCCCGACTTTGATAAGGATACCGCATATTTATCCTGCTAAAAGCATTAGCTAATAGAATTTTGTCAAAAGATTCTTCGTATTTGAGAAGAGATGTCTCAATTTTGCGGATCCTTGTTTCTCCTTCCATCTTTTCAAGTCTTTCACCTATTTCTTCCATTAGAAAATACTAGAATTTGAGAAATGTAGGGATGAGATCAAAATAAGACTTCTAAAACTTAAAGCAAAGGCGAAAATTCAAGTCTAAGCTTATTTAAAAATGGAATTTAGTTTGCATGATTTCACTGCGATTTTGGAAAGCCAATCCTAAGACTTACTTGTCTCCAAACTATTGGTTTCGATTTGCCAAATCTGTCATCAATCACTATCTGGTTCTCTCTGGATGAGGACACTTTCGGAGTGGCTATGGCAGTATCCTCATGATTTATCAATAATTTGGAATCAGATCTTACATCTATGAATTCTTGACATACTTCACAAATTATTATAAAGTTCCTCAAAGATATCTCCCAAAGTGGGGTTTTGGGGTTTTGGGGTTTTGGGG